TCCTGAGAGAATGATGTGTAGCATCGCAGGTATTGCTCCAGGGTCTGATTGGTCCTCTCGGTCTGGCCATTGGTCTGAGGGTGAAATGCCGAGGAAAGAGACAGCTTGATATCCAGGGCTTTGCACAGCGCCCTCCAAAACCGCGAGGTAAACTGCACCCCTCGGTCCGAGACGATGTCTTCGGGAACCCCATGCAGTCTAACGATCTCTCGAATAAAGACTTGTGCCGTCTCGGCTGCAGATGGAGTCTTCCGTAAAGGGATGAAATGGGCCATCTTGGATAAGCGGTCCACAACCACGAGAATTGCTGTGTGGTCCAGCGAAGGAGGGAGCTCGACTATGAAGTCCATGGAGATTCTCTGCCAGGGCCGTTCAGGGATGGGCAATGGACGTAGCAGGCCCCATGCCTTGTTCCTTGAAGGCTTGTTCCGCTGGCAGATGGCACAGGAGCCCACGTAGATCTTACAATCCTTGGCCATGTCCGGCCCACCAGAAGGAACGCCGGAGAAGTTCCAGGGTCTTGACCGGTCCAAAATGTCCTGCCAGTGGGTGGTCATGGCAATGTCCCAAGACTAAGGTTCGGGCATCCTCTGGCACCACAATCCGGTCCTCCCTCCATAGGAGTCCCTCCTTGTTCTGGAGGGGGGCCCCATCGGAGGTAGACATTGCTGTGGACGCCCTCAGGATCTCGGAGCGAAGGTTTGTCTGAAGGGCCAAGAAATTCCCTGCCGGAAGAATAGTGTCGGGCACTGGGATCTCCTTGGTGTCCTCATACATGCGCGACAATGCGTCAGGCTTCGTGTTTTTTTTCGAGCCGGGCCTGTATGTGATGTGGAACTGGAACCTCGAGAAAAACAATGCCCATCTTGCTTGTCGTGGGCGTAGACGTTTGGCCGTCCTCAGATATTCCAGGTTCTTGTGGTCCGTGAATATCAGGATGGGATGGGAGGCACCTTCCAGCAGGTACCTCCATTCCTCTAAAGCGGTTTTGATAGCCAGTAGCTCGCGATCCCCAATGTCGTAGTTCCTCTCCGCCGGGGTAAGTTTCCGTGAAAAGAATGCTACTGGGTGAAGTAATTCCTTGGCGCCCTTCCGCTGGGAAAGGATGGAGCCAACCGCGTTTTCAGATGCATCTACTTCTAAGATGTAGGGCAGGGAGGCGTCGGGATGACCCAGAATGGGTGCCGAGGTAAATAACCTTTTTAGTGCCTCAAAGGCTTCCTGTGCCTCGGGCGTCCATCTGAATCGCGTCCCAAGCTTAGTTAATTGAGTGATAGGGGAGACCAGACCCGAAGTTCTTGATGAACTTCCGGTAGAAATTTGCGAACCCAATAAAACGTTGGACACTTTTCCTGTCCGTGGGTTCAGGCCAATCTAGGATCGCTGAGACCTTCTGAGGGTCCATTGCGACCCCCGTGGTGGAGATAATCAGACCCAGGAATGTAACGCTAGCCTGTTCAAAGCAGCATTTCTCTGCTTTAGCGTACAACCCGTGCTGCCCGCAACCGCCCCAACACCTTTGTTACATGTACCCTGTGCTCCCCCAGGGAGGATGAGAAAATCAAAATGTCGTCTAAGTAGACGATGACAAAGATGTCCAGGAAGTCCCTAAAGATGTCGTTTACAAAGTGCTGGAAGGTGGCTGGCGCATTGCATAACCCGAAAGGCATGACCAGGTATTCAAAATGGCCGAATCGGGTGCGGAAGGCCGTCTTCCACTCATCCCCCTCCCTTATGCGAACCAAATTGTAGGCTCCCCTTAAGTCCAAACTTGGTAAATACTACCGCAGCCTTTAAGCTCTGGAACAATTCAGGTACCAGAGGTAATGGGTAACGATTTTTAATGGTGACCCTATTCAGCTCCCGATAGTCAATGCATGGCCTCAAAGTCTTGTCCTTCTTTTCTACAAAGAAGATCCCTGCACCTGCTGGGGAAGTGGAGGGACGGATGAATCCCTTACGGAGGCTATCCTCAATATAGTCCTTCAGGGCCCCTAATTCCACTCAGAAAGGGGAAAAATTCGTCCGAACGGGATTTCAGAACCGGGCAACAGATCAATCGGACAGTCATATGGGCGGTGGGGGGGTAGAGCATCTGCTCCCCGTTCACTGAACACGTCAAGGAACTTGTGATAGGCTGCAGGAACCACTTGTTTCAGGCTGTCATCCCCCTCAGAGCACAGAAGAACCTGGGGGACCCCCGGGCCCGAAGTTCGACACAGTTCCCGACAATATGGGGAAGGGAACGAGACAACCCCAGTTTCCCAGTCAATTTGGGGGTTATGGGCCCGCAACCAAGGGAGCCCCAGAATGACTGGGAAAAGGGGTGATGCAATAGCATCCAGGCGGAGGAGTTCCCGGTGCTGACCGGCAATGGAAGTCATAATGGAAGGGGTCTCCTGGTTGACTACTCCTGACTTTATCCGGGAACCATCAGCTAAAAAGATATGAAACCCCTTCTCCTTTGGGCGGAGGGGAATACCCTGCTGGTGAGCAAAATTGATATCCACAAAACAGCTGCATGCCCCCGAATCAACTATGGCCGACACCTCCACGGTCCTTTCGGAAAGCTGAAAGGAGAGGGGAACAACTAAGTACTGGGACGGGGTCATATCGCCAACAGATAAAGAAGATGAAGTGAACTTACTCAGTTTCTGCGGGCAGGAACGCACCATGTGACCAGCTTCGCCGCAGTACAGGCACAGATTCTGGGAGCGTCTGCGCTGGCGTTCCTCAGGCGATAGTTTAGGCCGAGCCAGGCCTAGCTGCATGGGTTCGGGGGCATCTTCAGCCGGCAGGTTCTGGATGCTTGGCCTAGTATGTTGACCGGATCCCTGAAATGACCCCCAGGGATTTCCGCGACCCTGACCAGACCTCTCCAATCTGCGCTCCCGTAGCCTACGGTCAATTTTAATAGTGAGTGCAATCAAGTCCTCTAATATCTCGGGCACCTCTACCCGGGCGAGCTCGTCTTTCAGAGCCTCAGATAGGCCCATACGAAACTGGTGTGTAAAGGGCGAACTCGTTCCAACGAGTGTCACCCATCCAGCGCCTAAAGTCAGAGGCGTATTCCTCAGCCGTCCGCCGACCTTGTCGGAGTGCGTATAACGTGGCCTCGGCCGAGGCCGCCCGTTGTGGGTCATCATATAAGATGGCCATAGCGTTAAAGAAGCTGTCGACCGAAACCAGGTGAGGGTCATTGTTTCCCCTTAGTCGGTGGGCCCAGTCTTGGGGTTCACCCTGCAGCAGGGAGACAACAAACCCCACTTTCACTGACTCTGTCAAAAAGGTCCGTGGCTGTAGTTCAAAAAAGAGCAGACAAGAGTCACGAAATGACCGAAAACGTGTGCGATCCCCATGGAAGCGCTCGGGTAAGGGTACTCGGGGTTCCGCCATAGGGAGTGATGTGGGAGGCCCAGGAGCCGGCTCGTGGGCTGCTGCGACTGGAGGTGCAGGAGCCGGGGCCTGTGAAACAGGAACAGATATGGTGCAGGCCTGAAACCGATTCTCGATCTGCAGACATCTGTCCTGTAATGTGTTTACAGCTTGCGTCAGGGTAGACAGGTGCCTGCACACCTCGTCCAACGGGGTGAGTCCTCCTCGAGGCTCAGTCATGGCCTTCTGGTACTGTGAGGGACCGCCGAGCGGCACCACTAGCACTCCACCGGTCAGGCGTGCCCAGAGCGCGGAATCTAAGCCCCAGGGTACTTGTTCACCAGGGCCCCTGATGGTGGGGATGGACTTGTAGTACCCTGAGACCAGGTCGCCTCTACTGAGCACACCTGTCAGTGGTAGGGGTGTCCGCCAGGGGTTCCAACCAGGGAGAGCCAAATGTGAGGAGGTCGGGTGACCCTGATGGGATGGATGGATGGATGGCTGAGCAAGTGCGTAGTCAGACAGGCCGAGTCGGTAATGTAGAGGACGGTAAGGTACAAGGGAGCAGGCAGAGAATCGTCGGGTCACACGCCAGGTCAGCAACAGGAGGTCAGATCTACAGAGGGGCATCCAGAGAGGTCAGGCAAGCAAGGGTCTGGGCAGGAGAAATCAGCAAGGTCAAGAGCAATCCGGGTCAATAACTTACAGGATACAGGTTCACAGGATCAGGAATGCAGGTAAGACCAGAAGGCAACGAAATGACAGCTCAGGGACCTTTAAATATCCCGCCCTGCGCTGCCATTGGTGCCCAGCGGGCGGCCGCGGCTTCTACTGCGCATGCGCGAACTCGAACGCCGCGGCCGGCCCGGACCTAGTGCCCGTGTACTGGGAGGAGCAGTGCGCCTGCGCCGGGACCATCGAGGGACGGATCGAGATTGTACACCCTTGAGGATTAGGGACCTTAGATCGTACGTCCCTTGAGGGTTAGGGACCTTAGATTGTACGCCCCTTGAGGGTTAGGGACCTTAGATCGTACGCCCCTTGAGGGTTAGGGACCTTAGATCATACGCCCCTTGAGGGTTAGGGACCTAAGATCGTACACCCCTTGAGGGTTAGGGACCTTAGATCGTACGCCCCTTGAGGGTTAGGGACCTAAGATCGTACGCCCCTTGAGGGTTAGGGACCTTAGATTGTACGCTCCTCGAGGGTTAGGGACCTTAGATTGTACGCCCCTTGAGGGTTAGGGACCTTAGATTGTACGCCCCTTGAGGGTTATGGACCTTAGATCGTACGCCCCTTGAGGGTTAGGGACCTTAGATCGTACGCCCCTTGAGGGTTAGGGATCTTAGATTGTATGCCCCTTGAGGGTTAGGGACCTTAGATTGTACGTCCCTTGAGGGTTAGGGACCTTAGATTGTACACCCCTTGAGGGTTAGGGACCTTAGATTGTACACCCCTTGAGGGTTAGGGACTGATGTGAATGTACAATATATATGTAAAGTGCTGTGTAAACTGACGGCGCTATATAAGTACCTGAAATAAATAATAATAAATGTCAACAATTCAAAAGAGTTTTTTTATAAAAAACAGTATGAATTTTTATTTTTACAATCTTCAAAAATGAATATAAAGCTACACCATTGATATAGCTCAGGATCAGGGGTGGACTGACTATTTGGAAACTTGGGCACTGCCCGAGGGCTTGGGGTCAGTAGGGGGCCCCATGAGATGCCCCTGGTACCTTTTTCATAGGCTTTTTTGAGTTTGGGGAAGGACACAGGGGCCCCATGATCCCCTATTGCCCGGGGACCCCCCATGAGTTGTCAGTCCGCTCCTGCTCAGGGCAGAAATATTTCCTCACATGTATAGGATTTCTTTGCTTTTTTGAATTGGGATTGTCCTCTATGAGGATAATTCGTTCTCTGCAGGTTCATCCTCTGGATTGGAGTCATATTACGGTCTGCTTTTGAGATCAATTCAGCGGATGATCATCCACTCACTATTGCAAGGGGGAAGGGGGGAGTCCTCTTTTTTGGTGGGACTTTAACGGCACAATTTACTTGTATTATAAATTTCAACAATTCAAAAGAGATTTTTTTTATAAAAACAGAAATTTTATTTTTACAATCTTCAAAAAGAAATATAAAGCTACAATACATATTGCGGCGGTGTCATCAGAGATGGTATTGCAAATCTAATCATGGATCATGCATGGTTCGCACTTGACGCGTTTCGAGATCAACAAAAATCTCTTCTTCAGAAGTGCTCAAGAAGGCGAGACGTATGATTCCATGGGAGGTAAAAACCACCAAGAAGTATTGTTATGTGAACACAGCCACAGATTTCTCATATATCTCAGGCAAAAATGATGAAAGAAAAATTAATAAAGAAAAAAACTGAGACCAGTGGTTGAAGAGTGTCGCCCAAATGCCTCCTGAAGGGGCCCCGCCCAAATGCACCCTCAACAAGATTACCTGCTGGTTGGTACTGATAGGGCAGTGCTACTATGAGTGCGAAGAGATGACCACAAGGAATTTGCATGAGAAAGTGTTGAAGACCTGATAAAAATCAGGACTGAGATGTGAAAGACAGCCCAATATGGGCAATATACCAGGTCTATCCAAAGAAGCATGCTTGATGGCTGTGAGCAAAGAAAAATCACAGCCAGTGTGCCAATGAGGAGAGAGAGGGGGAGGAGCCTAGCCATGGCTCTGTGTGTCTTATGGACATATAGAGTGGGCCAATGAGGAGAGAGAGGGGGAGGAGCCTAGCCATGCCTCTATGTGTCTTATGGACAGGGGCGGTCTGACCATTCGAGCACTCGGGCAATACCCGAGGGCCCGGGGTCAGTAGGGGGCCCCATGAAATGCCCCTGTTACCTTTTTTTTTTACTTTTTTGGGTATGCTTTGAGGGTGGGCAAGGACACAGGGGCCCCATGAGTGAGTTGCCCGGGGGCCCCACGAGTTTTTCAGTCCGCCCCTGCTTATAGATGCACAGAGTGGGGCTCAAGAAGGAGCACTTGCCAGTGCCCCTATAGCGGGCACTTGTACGTGCTATTGGGGACTTGCTATTGAGGGCACTGGTCAGGAGCACTGAAGGCGGACTCAAGAAAAAGAGGATCGGGCTGCTCTGTGCAAAACCATTACACAGAGCAGTTAAGTATGACTTGTTTGTTATTTAAAACAAACAAACAAAAAAAATTAACCTTTAGGATTACATTGAAGTAAAGGCCAACCATGGGCAGACTGACCATTTGGAAACTCGGGCACTGCCCGAGGGCCCAGGGTCAGAAGGGGGCCCCATGAGATGCCCCTGGTACCTTTTTGATAGGCTTTTTTGAGTTTGGGCAAGGACACAGGGGCCCCATGATCCCCTATTGCCCGGGGGCCCCATGAGTTGTCAGTCCGCCCCTGAGGTCAACTGATAAAAATATGTCTGGAGGGCACCGTGGTGGTGGGAAAAAGCTCATCAAGGCAGCATTCAATCTACCTATGCTAAAAAGGGCTTGGTTCACAATAGGCGCCTCCAAAGATTTTCAGTGCGACTTTGATGCGACTTTCATGTGACTTTGATGTCACTTCATACTCTCTGGCACCCAAGTTGTTTCAAAGTCACATCGAAGTAGTGCAGGAACCATTTCAAAGTCGCTGCGACTTTAAGCTGCATAGATCGGAATGAGTGCCATTGAAAACAATGGGCTAAAGCTTTATGTGTCCAATGTTAGATAATGAGTTTATGTGAAATCTCCATTAATGGATGTAAATAATGTTATAATTACAAGTATAATATAATACTAAGCACAATACCACCTTTACCAATAATATACTCACCCAGAAAGAAAAGTCAAAAACTTTCACCCTTGAAAGTCAACATACATATTACCAAAACTTTCTTTTGTGACTAAACTATCCCAATCTAAATAGATTCATATAACATACATCAGAATAAAAAATATATGAAATATATTAAAAATATAAAATAAAAAAGATTTATATATTTTTTATTCTGATGTATGTTATATGAATCTATTTAGATTGGGATAGCTTAGTCATCAAAACTTTCTAGCTTCCATACTGGTGCAAATATAGAGTTTTCCACTATACAAGTTCTGGCCTTTTGTTGTCCCCTTTTTTTTTTTTTAAAGTCCGCAAACATGCAACTATAACGAAAAACCCGTAAGTGTATCACAAAAAAAGTGCAAGTGTAAAACACCACATGAAAAAGTGCACTTAGGGGTGTGCTTTGTCCTACCCCTAAAGGGGCTGGACCACTACCCTGATCCCCCGGGGCACGAAGCTCCTGACAGGGACAAGGTTCCCATTTGGTCCTCCTGGCCAAAAGGCCTGGTGGACCACCGTTCCTTGTGTCCAGCCGAAGCCAGACACCCAGTACTTGGTCAGGGGGTTCTCCCGGAGAGAAAACCCCCTAGGGACAGGGGGGAGGAAGGAACCAAAAGGCCACACATCCTCCCCCCCTAGACTTCAGGGCAGGCTTGAGGACCCACACCCTCCATCCTGTGAAAACACACACATAAGTAAAGAAAAAGTGACAAAACGTGGGAGGTGCAATAAATTAAATAAATAAATAAGTGGTCCTGCCAAATAGTGCACAGACCAGGCCCTGAGGCCTTTTGTTGTCCCCTTAGCATATCTCACATGAGTGGTAAACAGTAGCCTTCTGTGAACTTCCAATCAGGCTGTTCCCAATATACATTGGCTAGGTACAGTGTCCAATTAGTGAGCATTATATTAGCCACAGTACAGACAGGAGGGGGGGATATAAGGCCTGGTCACCCAGCTGGAGGTCTCTTTGTGCTGGGACACCCAGCAGGCAGCATGAGCAGACCTGAAGTGGAGAGGTAACTAACTTCATACCTGTATTGTACATTGTATTTTAAACATGGTTTTGTGGGTAAATTGTAAATATCGTATAAGTCAAGAGACTTAAACTGTACATTGTGTTGCAAATACTGCTTAGCCAGTAATTTGTATATACTGTATTATGTACCTCTATCAATAAATGTATATTGCAGATGGAAGTACCTCTTTTGTGTAGGAACTCTCATATCTAGCTGGATTTATGTAAATACTCCTACCCATAATCACACAAGTAACCACGTACTCATTAGACCTCTCCCCCGCACAATTCTTGCTCCACCATTCCACGCTTCCATTTAGGACGTACCGTAAATCACTTGCCATGCACATGGTCAATGCGGCAAAACAGTGTATCCCAGTCCACTGGCGCTCAACACATGTTCCCACTACTCGAGAATGGTTGGCTAGGATTAATAAAATGGAGGAAATGGAGGAACTTATCTCTGTATCAAAAGAACATCCCGAAAGATTTAGAAAGACTTGGGCTTGTTGGAGCAATTTCAAAACCACCACTACCTATCGCTTCTTAATTCATGAACGGCCTATACCCCCCGACTGAATGACTAGACACTATGCAATATTAGGGAATGCCCTGTCCTCCGAAGACGCGTTTGATGTATATTTGGATGGGCTGAAACTCGGCATCGTGGCCTTTGTCTCGGATTCTTGATTCACGCGCTGCCCTTTTGACCGATCCTGCATGTATTGCTTCCCACCATATATGACTATCGTTGTGGCCCATACAAAATTATATGAATTATTCTATCCATAACTACCCACTTTAACATTCCCTTACCTTCCTACCCATTCCCCTTACCCCCCCCCCCCCCCTTACCCCCCCCCCCCCCACTACCTCACGTTACATTCCCATCTTTCTCGCTAGCTATTCTCCTTTCTGACTTTTCTTTATCTTAAGCCTCCCAAATCCCAACAAATATGGCATTGTATCTCTTATACAAATGTGCCTGATTTCACCTGGCTCAACCACTCCAGAAATGGACACACAAGTTTTGTCATATAAGTCATCATGTGCTTGTAATACCCAACACGTCACAATCGGCCAACATAAGGGCTCACCAGTACATAAGACAGTAATCCTTATACCCATTTTGATTTATCTACTATACTCTTTGTATCTACTGGTTTGCCATATACATTTGCATTAAGGATATATTTCGACCAGCTGTGTACTTTTGTTTAAACCCATGACCCGTCTGCGTAACGGGATGCTACATGATGTGTCTATGTTCGGACTGTGATCCGTATTTGTATGTATACTGCTATACTTTATTTTCTAATAAAAATATTTTTGAAAAAAAAAAAAAAAGTAAATACTCCTACAAGGATTGGGTTGTATTCACAAATACATGTAACCTAGTCAACACCAAAGTCTCATGGCAAGTCACACTGGTGTGAACTGAGCCTAATTTCCAAAGAAAGAAAGGAAGCTAGATGGAGGCCAAGGAGTAAAAAAATTGTACAGGGTACACCCATTCAACTAGACACACAGGACATTATGGCTTTTCCCTACTGAACAAATCTCAACGCCCTACAAACCTTGTCCTACAACAGGATCCTCTGTATCCAAAGAGTGACCATGTCGTATTCTCAGTGCTGAATTTCCTTGCACTAAATTAAATTAAACTTCTTCTTTAGTTACCAACAAAGATGAGTGAATAATGGAAAATCCACTCCACCATTGATTCTGTAGCGAGGACGCACCATTCATATTGATAAGGTAGAGCTAGTATTGATAATAGAGAGTAAGTCTTGAAATGGGCAATGAGAAAAGTTTAAGGGATAAAATATATTAGGAGATGCCAGGGGAATTTAATATGTATAGCCTTGAGAAAAGAAGGAGCCTACATTAGGGGCAGGCAGCAAGAAAGATTTCAGCATAGTCATTACGGTATTAGGGACCAGTCCTGTGGAGAGACGTTGTCAAAGATGGAGCAAAGCAGTATCTCAGCTCTCAGGATCTTAGTGTACGTTCTAAGCTCTCCTACCACCACTGGAAAGCAAATACCTAAATGAAGTTGTCTTTAAAAAAAAACACAAATAGTAGTAGGTATAATAAAAATCACAATATTTAAAATTATTACATAAATGTTATCGCTCCTGCACTAATTACTCTATACTCTAATGCAAGCTACTTTAAACTCTGGCTTTTTGCAGAATTTGCAGACCTACTTTACAATCTTAGAAAGATTCCATTGTACATACAGGTTTAAATTTGGAGGTGGCTAGGAGGTGCAGCAGAAGCACCTCCTAGCCACCAGCAGAAGGTCAATGGTTGCTAAGGAAGCAGTGGAGGCTTGCACCTGCTGTGTACATAGGAACAGCTGATATAACCAGTGTGATTTGTTTTAACAGCTTAGATATGTAAATTCGTATTTTAGGACCATGTGTTTGTTTTAGAAGCTATGCCTTCCCCATTGATGTGCAAATGAACTCGTTGGACTAGTTTGTGAAACTCAGTACAGGAAGTGATGGACAGGTAATAGGGGAAGATGAAGGAACCATAAGAAGATTCCATCACAATAAATCCCAAGTTAAGTAACTGATTAGTATAATTTGCATGCTATGAATTGTGTTTCCTGCAGTTGCCTGTTGAGCTTTTTTGTTTAACCTCTTCACACCGCCGCACGCACACAAATGTGCGGCCTCCTGGCATCTGGGCCTAGACGCGGAGCGGCCGCACATTTGCATTCAGTTATGAAAAAACATATGTGCTGAGAGCGCACACCCTGTGCGCTCCAAGCACAAATGTCCGGTACTCACGGAGAGGTCCCGGTCTTCTCTTTCGATTGGGACCTTTCTTGACCATGTGACCGCCGTGACGGCGTGTCACGTGACGACGGTCACATGATCCATAAACCCTGCCCCGCCCATCCCGCCTCCCATCTTCTGAAACTCTTAAAGGGCTGGGAAGTGCCAGCGTGAAGGGATTAATAAAAACATTAATACACTACAGAGTTTTAAGCTTCCTTGGTTATTACCGCAAAAGAACCTTTAATAGACACCAAGCAAAACAAGCATAAGTCCTTATCACAAAAGCAAAGGGGCAAGGATAGCAGTGATATGCCATGGGCATATTTGGTCAATGATGTCACCACTATACTGCCCCTTCCCACAGATAGCTGATGACAGCTTGGGGACCAGTCATTCAGCTGGAGAACCATCGAGATCGGTCGTATACGCTGGCTCGTCAAGTACTTTTTTTGGGTGGAAGGCATTGTGATTGGTGAGTGACTTTAGAGGGACTTTTGTGAGATGTTACATTTTTGATTTTTTTTTTAAAAGGATTTGTTAAACATTTGGGTGTCTTTATACCTAGGTAACCTTTTTTTTACCTAGCTACTTACTCATTCATATAGGGGGTGGGTGGTAACTAGGGTGCCGCTTATCTTGGCTTCCAGATTACAATAAGAATCCTGCTCCCAGACCCCAACAATCACAAGCCAGGGAAGAAGCCCTTGTCCTCATCAACATGGGAGCAAGAGCTTGTTTCCCACA